TTATCCATATAGCGCAGTATACAACGAGCGAAACAAAAATTAGATCAACAACGAATTCGTCTTCCATCAGCTTCAGTTGATCAATTATTAGAGATGCGAGAACACAGTCAACATAAAGGTAAATAGAGACGTCCATTTTTGACTTCTGTTATTTATTATCATTCAAGAAGTTGATTCATAGAGTTCTCTTAATAGATAGATATAGAGCAGGTAAAGTGTGCAATATCATGACTAATATCTAACTGACATATTCCATACATGTTTGCTCCGTATTTTTTGATGTTAAACTTTTAATGTTTAAATATACTTTCAGATTGTTTAAAGTAAGAATAGCGAGTGGGAACCAACACTAAAACTAACTTCTTCATCTTTTTCTGATTCAATTTCAGTCATTTTTGAGTCGTACATGTCAATCATATTTCGAAGTTCTTTCATACCAGAGGTGCTTCGGGCACAGAAATGGAAAATTTTGATGCAGGTTCACGTTGATCTAGGACTTATGTATTTTTCCATTTCTGTTCCCTAAAACTCCCAGTTGATGTTTCATCGCTAGAATTTCTTATGAGGTTGAACTTTCTTACAACGATGATAAAAAGTGGATAAGCAGCTTGTGGAACGAATAGTCAAAAATTTCGGTTTCAGGTCCCAATTGACCTCCGAATTATGTAATTTTCTCATATCTCCCAAAAGACTTGGCCAAACAATAACAAACTATAGTGATTTGGAATGCTCTTGCCGCATGGAATCCGAGTATGATATCAAGATTTATAGACAATTGCTTCTAAAGACAGTTTTCATCGACTGGTACTGTTCAGTAAAAGAGTACAACTTGTGATAAATATAACTTTTTTGCATGAGATCTTTCAAAATAATTTTTATGTGGTACAGCGTTTGAGCAAAGGTATAATACTAGGATGATATTAAGATTTCATTTCAAGAACTTTCCACATTTTGGTACGTTCTCGGTGGATTGACCCAAATGGAATAAAAAAATTCAGAATTAAAAAAAGACGAGGAAAAGTTCGGAAAAAATTTTGAAAATCAACATCCGCAATCTTTTTCATAGGGTATAATACATACATTTTTACGGTAAAAACTACTAAAATTACGCCAATGTCAGGTAGTAAACATCGATTTTGGAGATTTTGTTAATCTTTTTTTTCCATATTCAATAGATAATATTTTTTAAACAGAAAACAACTTAAAATGTGTTCTCCTGAATAGTCTTTTACTTAAAAAAATGTATGTAATCTATTCGACATAAAAACATATTAAAAAAGTTCTAAAAACCGACGTTTTTAATGGACATAACAGTAGTTTCTACCCGACATCAGCGTATTGTCAGTAATTTTACTAAAACACGTATGAATTCTACCTCCGGAAAAATTGCGGATTTTTTTGGAATCTGGAATTACATTTTTTAATTCCGGATTTTATTTCCTTTTTTAACTCCACATTTTTTCGTTCCGGATTCATCCACATATTGCTATTAAGATACAGTAGCAAAATCCACAAGTGAAAAACTCGGAAGTATAAAAACACGTAAAAAATCGGATTCTTTTTTTTACGTAGGGTAGAGTACATACATCTTTTAGGCGAAAACGTACTGAAAGAATACGACGCAGAAAAAAGTTCTTTATGAAGGCAAGAAAAACCATTGTTAGTTTCTTAGATCTCATATTCCGTACTTCTTTTTATTTGACAAAGCTTTTTTGCATGAACACTGCACTTGATCGTTGTTAGAGTATCAACGTCGATATGACACAGTAATATTTTCTGCCTTTTTCCATTATTTCTTCGAGTTTTTTTACTCTGTTATCTTTTAATTTAAATTTGTCAACAATAAGGTAACCGTTATCTTTTCACAGTAACTACCGTGATTATTTAAGCCTTAGTCCAATGTTTAAAGTATCGAAGATTGCAGGACAGTTTTATTATTCAACTTATTTTCAATAGGAAAATAGTATAATTTCTCTAGGGTGAGAGAATGATTCTCTGACGTGTCTGTCATCATTCTTAATCTTTACTAATAATCAAGATTAGTTATATACTGTCAACATATTTGTAGTTTTTTTGATCATCTATGATGAATAAGTTCATGTTTTTGGCGGTGAAGTAAGACAAAGTAAAAGTTTATAAAGTAATATATGTTCTTCTTCTTAATACTAATGAACTGTAATTTTGTGTACCTTCTTTTTACGGTTTTTGTTATTGTTATTAAAAAAGGAAAAAAAATAAGAGAATAAAACAACGACGATTTTTAGTTTTAATAAAATATTTGCAGAATGAGTTAGGAAAGAAAAAGTGCATTTATGTCAGAAAAAAAGCACCTTTTATCGCAAAAAAAATTATAGTAACTGGAAAGCAAGTGATAGGTGACGAAGGATATTCAAAAATAAATTAATGTTGATTATTACCATTACCAGTTTTATCTGCTTCTGATTTTCTGTTTTGGAAATATTCAATCTAAAATATAGAAAAACACGAGAAATATGAGAGAGACAGACAGAGAAAAGAAAACATATGAGTACAAACTTACAAATAAATTTCGTAAATATTTTTCTCTTGTATCTGAATCATCCTGTCCTAGTTGTGGTTCATTAAGTGGTGAACATCTTTTGTACGTACGACGATATCTTTCATCGATAGATTCTAAATAATAATCGCCCGACCAAAATATTTGTGAGGGCTGTGATGGATGAAATGGAACTAAAATACAAAATATCATTCACATACATCAAATTAAAACGTAATAGCAGTGTGTCACTCATCTGAATAGATGTGTTAAACAAATGTTAAAGATTTAGTTACATTGCACAAAGGTTAGTTTGAAGGTGAAATCGGCTCGTACAAAACAATAGAGTTATTCAAGTGAATAAAAAGAAATTATACAACATAGAGATACACTCGCGATACTCAAATGATACTTTTTTATTGCCATCGCCTGGCTAACACAAAACTGAGAGTTTTTTGAGTGTTGCTCACGAGGGAAGGTCCCCAGGTGTTTCCCTGGGATTTCAAAGCAATGTACCCCACTTTGCTAATTTAAGGATGCTGATTACGAATCTGAAAACCATTCGTGCTCTCGTTCAATCCTTCAAGAGTTATAA